AGAGAAATCTGCTTTATGAGAAAGCAGGCAGTGGAAATCAGTGAGGACGAACTCTTTAAGATGTGGCACTGGGATAATTAGAGCTCTATATGAAAAATGATTAGTGAAACTGTATCTTCATCCTATACTGTTTACAAAAGTTAATTGCAAGTATCATACAAGGAAAATTATAAAACTTTAGGAAGACATTGTAGAAGATAAATGTATACCTTTGGTTAAGGAAGGATTTCTAAAACAGTATACAAAATGTGCAAGTCAGAAGAAAAAGATTGAGGAATGAAATTACACAAAGACCTTTGTTCTTTAAAGGATGCTATGATGAAAGTGAAATTACCAGCTATAAGTTGGGATAATTTATTTGCCACCTTTATAACCAACTAAGAATGGTATTCAAGATATTGTTAAAAAAAAAAAACTCCTAAAAATTGATTTAAAAATAATCAAACAACCCAGTAGAAAAATAAAGAACTTAGACACTTTGAGGAAAAAACAGTGATGACCATTAAATATATAAAAGTATGCCCAACATCATTAATCACTAACTAGATGTGTTAGATTACGTTGTTCCATTTAGTTAAGCTGGGAGCTCTTTTTCCTAGAGTCTCTGTCCTTATATCATATTTGGTTAGAGTTGATAAAAATTATTAATTTGCACTAGATTTGGAAGGTGGATGTGAAACAGTGGTTATAACTCTCTGAAGGTCTTAGTGACAAAGAGATGCAAAGGTACCCCACAGGTTACAGTTTAACCAAGAGCTGTGGCCAACTCTTCTTCACTACTTGCCCAGTAGTCAATGGCCAAGGCCCCTCAATCACATGCTTGGCTGCGGAGCCACCAGACAGTTCCTGCACAGAAGCAAGAGCTTCTTCTGCACCTCTTCACAAACGTCCTCTTTATGATCCTACTTTCTCAGCACGATGTGTATGACTTATCAATCGCCCTGCAAACTGCACCTTGCCCCCCATGCCAGTGCTGCCAGAGGTGGTTAGGGACCAGCCATCTCTGACCTCTCAATCCCTTCTAGTCCTTCACCTCCCTGGTTCCTCCCACACTCATGTGAGGTCTAATTGCAATAATAAATTCTTTTTCTTGTAACAGTTATCACCATGGCTCTTCTTCCCCAACTGAACTCTGATTGATACATCAAACAAAACACAACAGTGCTATCAGTATGACTTCCTCCACCTCCTTCTAGTCTTTGTTCAAATGCCCACCTTCTCAAGAAGCTTTCCTGACCACTCTACGGAAGTTCAGTCCCCCTCCAGCACCAGGACTACCTAGTCCTGCTCTGTTTTAATTTTTCCTTTAGTACTTACCAGTTACTAAAATACAAATAATGTTCATATGTATTTTATTTGCTGTGTGTATTCTCCACTAGAATGTAAGTTCTATGAGGGTAAGGGCTTTGGATTTTGTTTTGTTTTATTTTGTTCGTTTTATTCTCTAACTCTGTTTCATATCTCTAACAATAATGAATATTTGCTAGGTAAAAAAAAAAATGGGATTTAAATTTACATTCACTCGATTGGCAAAATAACTAAAAAGTCAGAACATGCCAAAAATTGGCAAGGATGTAGAGCAAAGGGCATTTTTATATATTTATACTACAATCGCTCTGAGAAAAACTTAGGCTTACCTAGAAACTTAAATATGTATATATCCTACAACACAGGGGTCCTCAACTGCCGGGGACCACAGACCTGTACTAGTCTGTGGCCTATCAGAAACCAGGCCGCATAGCGGGAGGTGACTGGTAGGCAAGTGAGTGAAGCTTCATCTGTATTTAGCCGCTCACCATGGCTTGAATTACTGTCTGAGATCCACCTTCTGTCAGAGCAGTGATTCTATTAGATTCTCATAGAAGGGCAAACCCCACGGTGAACTACATATGTCAGGGATCTTGGTTGTGCTCTTCTTATGAGAAAGCACAACCTCCTATCTGTCACTATTTCCCATCCTCCCAAGATGAGACCATCTAGTTGCAGCAAAACAAGTTCAGCAAAACTGATTCTACATTACGGTGAGTTGTATAATTATTACATATTACAAAATAATAATAATAGAAATAAAGTGCACAAAAAATGTAATGTGCTTGAATCATCCCAAAACCATCCCCGCCACCCCCGGTCCATGGAAAAACTGTCTTCCATGAAACCAGTCCCTGGTGCCTAAAAGGTTGGGGACCACTGCTACACAGAAATTCTACTTCTAACTCCTCACTGAAGGGAGAAAGGATAATCTGTGCCATAGTTGTAAAACAGGAATCTACACAGCAGTGAAAATGATGAATTAGATTTGTATACCTAAAATGTAATTAATCTCTTAAGCATAAAGTGGAGCAAAAAAGGGATTCATAGCATAGAACAATATAAAGTTCAAAAGTACAAAAAACTAAACATTTTATTTTTAGAGATACATAAAGATGTGGTAAAACTATTTAAAGAACAGAAACAAATAATAGATATAAAATTCAGTCTAGTGGCTGTCTCTGGGGCAGGGAGAAGGGTCAAATTGAGGAGGAACACCTGGCATTTTTCAGGATATTATTAATGTTCTATTTATTAAGCACAATGGCATTTTAATGAGTTTTATTTTGATATGCTTAATATTTTAACTAAATTATTTATTTTTTAATTTTTAAATTTCTGTATATTCATGGAATACAAGTGCAATTTTGCTACATCAATATATTACATTGAGGTGAAGGCAGAACCTTCACTGCATCCATTGCTAGAGCGACACATATCGTACCCACCAAGTGACCACCCATCACTCACCCTTTTAACATTTTATTTTAAAACTTTTACTAAAGAGATGATATACTGTCCAGAAATATAAAAACTATGTCATGAATTAGTATAATAAAATTGAATCATAGTTTGCATGCCTTTTATCCATGCTTAAGATAGTACTTGAACTGACAAATACTTCTTAAATTCTTCTAAAATTGTATATTTGAAGTTTTGGCCTACACTCTTGAATTGCAAGAAAAGAAGTCCTCTCAAGCCAGCTTAAACAAAAGTAGAAATGAATTTTAAAGAATACACTGTAGTCTCACAGACCCCAAGGATAAGAACGTGGCCAAGCCTGGAATAGAGAATGGAAAGAGGTCATGGCAGTTTCTCTGTTTCTGCTGCTTTCTTCAATTAGTCTCTTTCCTTCCTCTTTTCACAGTGGCTTTCCCTGCTATTCCATCCACACTGTAAAACCACACTCCCTGGCAGCTATGGTTTATTTGTTAGAGTTTCAACTTAAGACAGTGATTAATTAGTTCCAAACCCCAAATTTCAAATTTCAGAAGAGAATTTGATCACCCCAGCCTGAATTGGGTGTATACTGGGCCAATTGGCTATAATAGCAGGGTCTGGTTCACAAAGCACAAACTTGCTGTCATGAACCCTGCAACTCTAGTGAAAGTTTAAGGTAAAGGGAGTTACAGTGAGCTGAAAAGCTGCTCCTACAATTGGACAAAATGTAAGGCATAAATAATGGGATCATCAATTTATATATTTAATCTTCTAAGTATTGCTGCCTTGCTTATCAAGCAATCTTACTGGCATTTATAAAATCTGTTCCAAGGCCAGGTGCGGTAGCTGACACCTGTAATCCTAGCACTTTGAGAGACCAAGGTAGGCAGATCACAAGGTCAAGAGATCAAGATCATCCTGGTCAGCATGGGGAAACCCTGTCTCTACTAAAAATACAAAAATTAGCTGGGTCTGGTGGCGTGTGCCTAAAGTCCCTGCTAGTTGAGAGGCTAAGCTAGAAGAATTGCTTGAACCCGGGAGGCAGAGGTTGCAGTGAGCCAAGATGGTGCGACCGCACTCCAGCTTGGACAACAGAATGAGACTCCATCATAAAAATAAAAAAATAAAAAATCTGTGACAAAACAGTCTTCCATGTCTTGAGTAGTCATCACAGACCTTGAAAAACCACTTTGGGTAGTAAGCACAGTAGCTTATGCCTATAATCCCAGTGTTTTGGAAGACTGAGGTGGGAGGACGACTTAAAGCCAGGGGTTTGTGACCAGCCTGGTCAGTATAGCAAGACCCTGTTTCTACAAAATAAATAAATAAAAATTAGCCTGGATGTCACGGCATGAGCCTATTAGAACCCAGGAGCTTGAAGTTAAAGTGTGCTATGATCATACCATCGTACTCTAGGCTGGGTGACAGAGCAGGAAACAGCCTCTTAAACAAAAGAAAAAGAAAAATCACTTTTAAAAAGATGCAGAATTTCATTAAAGGTATCTTGAAAATTTACTTCTGATAAAACTGCAAACATCTACAGGTTCAATAATATTAGGGAAATCTTTCTTCGCCCTCAATCCATATTTTGAATTAAAACTATCATCCTCCTTAAGAATTTACATTCTTGGCAGTAGTCTTTGGTCCAGATAGTCATATCACCCAAACCAGGCTATAAAGAGCCTTTTCGTGAGATTTTTTTCAAATCAAAGCTGGAAATAAAGAGTTCTTTCCTTTCTAGTATAGTATCATAGAACGCATAGAACTGTGCCATATGTGATGTGACATTTGAAGTTTGACTCTGATATGTTAAAAATGCACATTATAATGATTAGAGTGATCACTAAAATGGAAAAAGAGGTATGGCTAATAATCTTTTAGTGGACTAATAAGCCAACATAGTGAACATAAAAATGGAACACTAACAAACAATCCAAAAGCAGGAAGAAAAGAGAAAGAGGGAACAAAACCCACAAGACTAAAATAAGACAAATAGCTGCATGATAGATTTGAATCCAATCATATTAGTATTTCTATTAAATGTAGATGGTCCCTCCAAAATGAATCTGTGAGGATGGCTGAACAACCCTGTGAATATACTAGAACACACTGCAATGTATGCTTCAAACGGGTAGACTATATTGTATACCAATCATATATAAATAAAGCTGTTTTTAAAATGTAAATAGTCTAAACAAACAACCCATAGAAAAGGCAACAATAAAAGAGCAATGCCCAACCTAAGTTTTTTTTTTCTATTTTTTTTTTTAATTCAGTCTCGACTATGTCGCAAGTCGTCACGGCGGGATGTTAGGAAAAGTTTTCAATTAGCAATAATCGCGCCTCGTATAAACCTCATTGGCTACGATACTGCCACTGCGCAAAGCTCCAACCTAATTTTTAAAAGCACTTACAATATCCTGTCTGTAAGAAATCTACTCTGGCTTTTCTGAAGATCCGGCAAGACGGCAGAGGTAGAGCAGAAGAAGCAGCGGACCTTTCGCAAGTTCACCTACCGCGGTATGGACCTGGACCAGCTGCTGAACGCGTCCTACGAACACTCGACGCAGCTGCACAGTGTGCCCCAGCGGCCGCAGCTGAACCTGGGCCTGCGGCGGAAGCAGCACTTGCTGCTGAAGCGCCTGCGCAAGGAGGTGTCGCCCGTGGAGAAGCCGGAAGTGGTGAAGACGCACCTGTGGGACATGATCATCTCGCCCGAGATGGTGGGCGTCTACAACCGCAAGACCTTCAACCAGGTGGAGATCAAGCTGGGGATGATCAGCCACTACCTGGGGGAATTCTCCATCACCTACAAGCCAGTGAAGCATGGCCAGCTGGGCATCGGGGCCACCCACTCCTCCAGCTTCATCCCCTTCAAGTAGTGGCTCCACTATTAAAGGCACACAGATCTCCAAACAAAAAAAAAAAGAAAGAAAGGACAAAAGTGATAGGTTTTTAAAAGGTATATCAGAAGAACACTAATCGTAAGAATACTAGAGATTAACATCATATAAAATATTAATCAGAACAAGTAATTTTACCAAGAATAAAGGGCATTCAATTATAATGAAAGAATAAATGGATTAAGGATACCTAACAATTCTAAATGTATATCCTCCTAATAAGAGAACCTCAAAATACATTAAGCAAAAACTGACAGAACTGCCCAAAAGAAACAGAAAAATCACAATTATGCTTGAAAATGTTAATACCCTTCTCTTAATAATTGATAGAACAAGAGACATAAAGTCAGTAATAATACAGAAGACTGAACAGGGAAGGGGAGAAAGGTGGCAGATAGGAGACAGGGCTAACGGGCAGCTCCTGCTTGGACGTACAGAACAGTGTATGGAGACTCATACTGTGAACGTTTTCTCCAAGAACCAGTGCAGGAACATACTAGGACAACCAAAAGAATTCACAGATCCTTTGAAAGAAGCAGCACACCACTGCAAATTCTGTAATATGTAAAAAACTGTGAGTTCCCAAAGTGTGAGGGGGAAAATCTGCCTCTGAACACACATCCCCACTGAGGACTCTGAAAATCCAGACTACCGAAGAAGGCTTTAACCTTACCTACAGCTGAAACAGATTGAGAGAGCCAACAAAATATAAAAGTAGAAGCAGCAGTGGAAAGAGCCTTGAAGGCACTCCCAGTCCCCAGCTCAAGGCCAGGAAGCCATCCCTGACTGTGTCTAACAGGGGCCCTCAGGGAAGGCAGCCAGTGGCATTAGGGAGGGATCTTGGGGTGAAAGAAGCTTCCAACTGAATTTTGTAATAATTTCAACTGGGAACAAACTTTATTGAGCAGAATCTGGGGGGCGAACAAGAACTGCTGCAGATACAAGCACAGGAGCTGCCACCAACATTGGGCAGATGGCCTGAAAGTGCTTGGTTTTGCAGAGGCAGCCTGGAGCAAGATCTGAGCCCCATGTGCAGACTGACTGGATCTAAACTTGGTGCTGTTAGTGGGGTACTGTGGGAATGAGACTGGTTTTACCTACTGTGTGGGAACTGGGTGAAGCCTTTCACTACCAGCTATCCCCCTCTTCCCTGGCAAACTAAATGGCACAGCAGAGGTAGCCATAATCTCCTCTGGAACATAACCTTATTGGCCTGAGAACCATCCTCCCATTTCTCACAGTGGCCATGGCAAACCCTGCCCAAGGAGGGTGTGAGTTCAGACCTGTCTAAACCTGGTGGCATTTCTCCACCTGCCCTGGTAGCTGAATACAAAAGACATAAGTTCTTTGGAGCTTTATGGTCCTGCTCTTCACCAGAGAAACCAGAATACCCACCCTGGCCAACTTAGGGCAAACTTTCATCTCCCTTCTCCTACTGCAGCTGGTGTTCTCTTTAAAGCATCATCACCTGGCAGGAGGCCAACCAACTGAGGCCATTAGGGCAGCTCATGAAAGAATAACCCTGCTTCCAGGAAGGAGAAAACAACAGCTAATACCACTACCCGGAACATCTTGGCTAACCTGAGGTCCTTAGTCTGCCCAAGTGACAGCTTCACTGCTAGCATAACCAACATTTGAGAAAGCCAGAACACTGAACAAAACTGCAACAAAGGATTCTCACAGAGTCTACTTCATTCCCCTGCCAACTCCACCAAACCAGGTGCTGTTATCCACAGGTGGGAAACCTGAAGAGCAACGCTATCACAGGACTCTTTTCAGACATTCCCCAGCACCAGTCCAGAACCTGGTAGCCCCACTGGATAGCTAGACCCAAAAGAGCAATAACCATCACTGCAGTCTGGTGCTCAGGAAGCCCCATCCCTAGGGGAATGGGGAGAGAACCACATCAAGGGATATCATGTCATAAGACAAAGAATCTGAACAGCAGCCCTTGAGTTCCAGATCCTTCCACTGAAATTGTCTACCCAAATGAGAAGGAACCAGAAAAGTAATTCTGGAAACAGGGATCTATAACACCCCCAAAAGACCAACTATCTCCCCAGCAATGGATCCAAACAAGAAGAAAGCTCTGAATTGCCAGATAAAGAATTTAGAAGGCTGATTATTACGTGACTTAAGGAGAACCAAAGAAAGGTGAAAACCAACTTAAAGAAATTAAAAAATGAAAATTTCTCCATAGAAATAGATATCATAAAGAAAAATAAGCACAACTTTAGGAAATCAAAGACAAAATACTTAGAGAAATACAAAATACTCTGCAAAGTTTTAACAGTAGACTAAAACAAGTAGAAGAAAGAACTTCAGAACCTGAAGACCTGGCTTTCAAATTCACCCAATCAGACAAAGACGTATATATATATATGTCAAAAAAAAAAAAAAAAAGAACAAAGCCTCCAGGATATTTGGGATTCCATTAAATGGCCAAACCTAAGAATAACTGGTGTTCCCGAGGAAGAAGGGAAATATAAAAGTTTGAAAACCTTATTCGAAGAAATACTTGAGGAAAATTTCCTTGGCCTTGTCAAATACCAGAAGCTCAAATACCACCTGGGAAATTCATCACAAAAAGATCATCACCTAGCCACTTAGTCATCAGGTTATCTAAAGTCAAGATGAAGGAAAGAATCTTAAGAGCTGTGAGTCAAAAGTGTCAGATAACCTATACAGGAAAACTTAAGAGATTAACAACCGATTTCTCAGCAGAAACCTTACAAGCCAGAACGGATTAGGGTCCTATCTTTAGCCTGCTTAAAACAAAATGATAGTGAGCCAAGAATTTGGCATCCAGGAAAACCAAGATTTATAAATGAAGAAGATAAAGCCTTTTCAGACAAGCAAATACAGAGAGAATTTATCACTACAAAGCCAGCACTGCCAGAAATGCTAAAAGGAGTTCTAAATTATGAAACGAATCCTCAAAGTACACCAAAATAGAACCTCCTTAACACATAAACCTCACAGGGCCTGTAAAACAATAGCACAATGAAAATACACAAGTTATTTAGGCAACAACTAGCATGATGAATAGAACAGTACCTCACATCTCAGTGCCCACTTTGAATGTAAATGGCCTAAATGTTCCACTTAAAAGATAGAGAATGGCAGAATGGATAAAAATTATCTGCTGGATTCAAGAGACTCACCTAACACATAAGGACTCACATAAACTAAAGGTAAAGGGGTGGAAAAAGATATTCTACATAAATGGAAACCAAAAGATAAAACAGACTTTAAAGCAACAGCAGTTAAAAAAGACAAAGAGGGACATTATATAGTGATAAAAGGATCAATCCAGGCCAGGCACAGTGGCTCACACCTATAATCTCAGCACTTTGGGAGGCCAAGGTGGGTGGATCATGAGGTCAGGAGTTCAAGACCAGCCTGACCAACATGGAGAAACCCCATCTCTACTAAAAATACAAAATTAGCCAGACATGGTGGCACATGCCTGTTGCCCCAGCTACTCAGGAGGCTGAGGCAGAAGAATCACTTGAACCCGGGAGGCAGAGGCTGTGGTGAGCTGAGATCAAACCATCACACTGCAGCCTGGGCAAGAAGAGCAAAACTCCACATTAAAAAAAAAAAGATCAGTCCAATGGGAAAATGTCACAATCCTAATATAAATGCACCTAATGCTGGAGCTCCCAGATTTATAAAACAATTAGTATTACTAGATCTAAGAAATGAGATAGATAGCAACACAATAATAATGGGAAACTTAAATACTCCACTGACAGCACTAGAGAGGTCTTCAAAACAGAAAGTCGACAAAGAAATAGCGGACTTAAACTGTACCCTAGAACAGATGGCTTTAATAGCCATTTACAGAACATTGTACCCAACAACTGCAGAATATATATTCTAGTCATCAGCAAAAGGAACATTCTCCAAGATAGACCATATGATAGGCCATAAAACAAGTCTCAATAAATTTAAGAAAATCAAAATTGTATCAAGTATCCTCTCAGATCACGGTGGAATAAAATTGGAAATTAACTCCAAAAGGAACTGAACTCTCAAAACTGTACAAATACATGGAAATTAAATAATCTGCTCTTGAATGATCTTTGAGTCAACAATGAAATCAAGATGGAAATTTCAAAATTTTTTAAAATGGCCGCGCACGGTGGCTCAAGCCTGTAATCCCAGCACTTTGGGAGGCCGAGGCAGGTGGATAATGAGGTCAAGAGATTGAGACCATCCTGGTCAACAAGGTGAAACCCCGTCTCAACTAAAAAAAACAAAAATACAAAAATTAGCTGGGCATGGTGGTGCGCACTTGTAGTCCCAGCTACTTGGAAGGCTGAGGCAGGAGAATTGCTTGAACCCAGAAGGCGAAGGTTGCGGTGAGCTGAGATTGTGCCATTGCACTCCAGCCTGGGTAACAACAGCGAAAACTCTGACTCAAAAAAAAAAAAAAATTTTTTTTAACTGAAAAATCATAGTGACACAACTTACCAAAACCTCTTGGATACAGCGTAAGTGGAAAGCTCATAGCATTGCATGCCTACATCAAAAAGTCTGTACACATAAACAATCCAAGGTCACACCTTAGATAGAGAAACAAAAGCAGTCCAAACCAAAACTCTGCAGAAGAAAAGAAATAACCAAGATCAGAGAAGAACTAAATGCAATTGAAACAGAAAAATACCAAAAGAAAAGAAAAGAAAAGAAAAGAAACAAACAGCTGGTTCATTAAAAAAATAAACAAAATTAATAGACCATTAGTGAAATTTCTTTTTATTCCCAATAGTGGCTCTAAGAAAATTAGTAAAATATATCAAGAAGAGAGAAGACCCAAATAAGTTCAATTCAAAATGAAATGGGAGTTATTACAACTGATACCACAGAAAAGGTCATTCAAGGCTACTACAAATATACCTTTACATGCACAAAGTAGAAAATCCAGAGGAAATGGATAAATTTCTGGAAATATACAACCCTCCTAGATTAAATCAGGGAGAAATAGAAACTTTGAACAGACCAGTAATAAGTAGCAAGATTGAAAGAATAATTTTTTAAAAGCCAACTAAGAAAACGTCCAGGACCATTTAGAGTCATAGCTGAATTCTATCAACATTCAAAGAAAAGTTGTTATCAATCTTACTGAAACTATTCCAAAAGATAGAGAAAGAGGGAATCCTCTTTAAATCATTCTATGGAGCCAGTATCACCCTAACACCAAAACCAGGAAAGAACATAACAAAAAAAGAAAACTACAGATCAATATCCCTCATGAACATGAATACAAAAATCCTCAACAAAGTACTAGCTAAAAGAATCCAACAGCATATCAAACAGGTAAGCCACCATGATCAAGTGGGTTTCATACCAGCAATAAAGGAATGTTTTAACATATGCAAGTCAGTAAATGTGATACATCATATAAACATAATTAAAAACAAAAATCACATAATCATCTTAATAGACACAGAAAAGGCACTTGACAAAATCCAAGCATCCCTTTATGATTAAAATCCTCAGCAAAATTAGCATAAAAGGGATATACCTTGAGGTATTAAAAGCCGTCTATGGCAAATCCACAGCCAACATTATACTGAATGCGGAAAAGTTGAAAGCATTCCCTCCGAGAACTGGAACAAGACAAGAATGCCCACTTTAACAACTTCTAGGCAACATAGTACTGAAAGTCCTAGCCAGAGCAATCAGACAAGAGAAAAAAATACAAGGTATCCAAATCAATAAAGAGAAAGTAAAACTGTCACAGTTCATCAATGATATAATCATATATCCAGAAAACCCTAAAGAATTACCCCAAAACCTCCTAGATCTGATAAAGAATTTCAATAAAGTTTCAGGATACAAAATCGACATACACAAATCAGTAGCACTGTTATACAGCAAAAATAACAGATCTGGAGGCATCACATTACCTGATTTCAACCCATACTACAAGACTATAGTCACCAAAAGAGCATAATATGGAAAATATGCACATAGACCAATGAAACAGAATAGAGAACCCAGAAATAAAACCAAACACTTATAATTAACTGATCTTCAACAAAGCAAACAAAAACATAAAATGGGGAAAGAATACTCTATTCAATAAATGGTTCTGGGATAATTGGCAAGCCACATGTAGGAGAATGAAACTGGATTATCTCTCACCTTATGCAAAAAAAAAAAAAAAAAAACAATTCAAGATGGATCAAAACCTTAAATCTAAGACCTAAAAGCATAAACATTCTAGAAGATACCATTGAAAAAACTCTTCCAGACATTGGCTTAGGCAAAGAGATATGACCAAGAACCCAAAAGCATATGCAAAAAAAAAAGAAAGAAAAAAAACGAATAGATGGGACCTAATTAAACCAAAAGGCTTCTGCACAGCAAAAGAAATAATCAGCAGAGTAAACAGACAACCCAAAGAGTGAAGGACAATATTCTCAAACTATACATCCAACAAAGGACTAATATCCAGAATCTACAAGGAACTAAAATAAATGAGCAAGAAACAAACAAATAATCCCATCAAAAAGTGGGCAAAGGAGATGAATAGACAATTCTCAAAAGAAAATATACAAATGGCCAACAATCATATTTTTTAAATGCTCAACTCACTAACTACCAGGGAAATGCAAATTAAAACCACAATGTGATACCACTTTACTCCGGCAAATATGGCCATAATTTAAAAATAAAAAATAAAAATAATAGATTAGTTGGTGTAGATGTGGTGAAAAGGGAACACCACCTTGAGGTGTGACTTTAGATTGTCATACACACAGATATATATAACAATCCTTTATGTATATAAATACACATAATACATATATATATACATATACATAGATATATATCTTTTGCCCACTTTTTGATGGGATTATTTGTGACATATATATTAAAATCTAAGGTCATACCTCAAGGAACTAGAGAAACAAGAACAATCCAAACCTGAACTCAACATATATACTATGGAATACTACTCAGCCATAAAAAGAAATGAAATAATGGCATTCACAGCAACTGGATGGAATTATTCTAAGTGAAGTAACTCAGGAATGAAAACCCAAATATCATATGTTCTTACTCTAAGTGGGAACTAAGCTATGAATATGCAAAGGCATAAGAATGATAAAATACACTTTGCAGACTTGAGGACAAGTGTTAGAGGTAGGTGAGGGATAAAAGACAACACACTGGATACGGTGTACGCTGCTTGGGCGACAGGTGTACCAGAATCTCAGAAATCATTACTAAATAGCTTATCTATGTAACCAAAAACCACCTGTTCCCCCAAAACCATTGAAATAATTTTTTTAAGTTGAAAGATACTACTAAGCAATTAGACTTAATTGAGATTTTTAGAACACTTCACCTAAATATAACAAAACATACATTCTTTTCAAGTGCATGTGGAACATTTACCAAGATAAATCATAAGCTGTTCCATAAAACAAATACTGATAAATTTAAAAGAAATGAGATTATACAGAATATGTTCTCTGATAATCATAAAGTACTTATATTAGAAATCAGTAACAAAAATTTAGAAAATTCCCCCAAATATTTAGATAGTAAACAACATACTTCTAAAAAACTCATGGGGTAAAGAAAAATTACAAGAGAATTTGGGAAATAATTTGAACTGAATGGAAAGAAAAACATGATATTTCAAAATTTATGGGATATACCTAAAGTATGCTTAGAGGGAAATTTATAACTTTAAATGTTTATGTTAGAAAAGAAAAAAGATCAGCAATCACCTAAAGTTTCAGTTTGAAAACAAATTAAACAAGAATAAATGTAGTAAATAATATAATAAAGATAAATGTGGATATCAAAATAGAAAACGAAAAATTAAGAAAATCAGTGAAGTCTAATCGTTCTCTGACAAAAATTAATAAAATTGATAAAATGCTGAGAAGACTGATTAAGACAAAAAAGAGATAAAACAAAATTACCAATAGCTGAAAGTTAAGTGGAGATACGATTGGAGATTCTACAGACAGTAAGAGAATAAAAAGAGTGTATTATAATCAACTTCATGTAAATAAGGTCTAAATTTGTTAAATAACAAGGAACTCATCTAAATTATTAAATAAAAATGGACTTATTCCTCAAAAGATAAACTTACCAAAAGTGAACCAAAAAGAAATAGAGTATTTAAATAGTCCTACATGTGTTACAGAAATTGAATTTGTAAATATAAATCTTCCCACAGAGAAAACACTAGGCCCATATAGCTTCACTGATGAATTCTTAACATTTAAGGAAGAAATAATATCAATTCTACACACTTTCAAAATATAGAGTTCAAATATATGAGGCAACCATGACCTTGACACCAAAACCTCACAAAAAAGGAAATAAAATTTATTGACCAATATCCAACATTTTTTATGAATGTAGATACCAAATATTAGCAAGGTGATGAAACTGTCGAGTAACTGAAACTCTGTTACCTTGCTAGTGACAGTGTAAAGTGATATAACCACTTTGGAGAACTCTTTGGCAGTTTCTTTTAAAGTTAGGCATAGATTTAACCTATGATACAATAATTACATTCCTAGTTATAAACTCTAGACAAATAAAACTACATGTCCACAAAAATCCTTGTGCAAAAGTCTTTATAGCACTCATGTTTATAACAGCCCCAAAATAGAAACAGCCCAAATGTTCATGAATAGGATAATGGATGAGCAAATTGTATATTTATATAATAAACTGTAGTTGTCAATTTAAAAAACACTACTCATACACATGAAAGCATTGATGGATCTCAAAATCATTATGCTGAATGAAACAACCCAGACACTAAAGAGAATAAATACTTCATGATTTCATTTAAATTAAATTCAAGAAAATTATCTATGATAATGGAAGTCAGAACAGTGGTTATATCTGGGGTGGAGGGAACTGGAGACATAAGGAAACCTGAGCTGTCAGAAATGCTTTATATCTTGATTAAGATGTTTATCGCAAGGATGTAAATATGTCTCAAAACTCTCATAGAACTACACACTTAAAATCTGTACATTGACTGTATATAAATTATACTTCCATTGAAACATGACATTAAGAAAAGAGCAAAAAACACAAGGGACTTTCACTAATTAACAGTCCCTTCATTCTCGTCTCCTGACACAGTTTTCATTCAACAGCAAATCTTTTCACAGCCTCTACTGCCACATCTATTCCCAAATGGACGTCCCTGAACATCATTATTTATCTGCCAAATACACCAACATTTTTCCTTTCTCTCAGGCTTGAAACTTTATACTCAAACATCTGCAGACCTAGAGATTGAATGAAAAGAGACAATCACAAGTCTTTCAAATCCTCCCCTATCCAATGTTCTTAGCATTTAACTTCTTTCCTTTCTCTTGTCATCTCTTTCTCAAGTCTACTCAACTCGAACTTGGTTCATTATAACAATTCCCTGACTCAATCTCTTTCTAATCTCTCACAAACACACTGCTATCAGATTAATTTTCCTGATACAGTTTTTTAACTGTTTACCTGTCTACTCAAAATCTTTAGTAGGTGCCCATTCCTTAGAATGGAACTCAAGACCTTCATGATTTGGCCAACTTAACTGTATCTACTGGTGTGCTGATCGATGTTAAACAGCTGGGAAAGGGGTGAGAAGGAGCCATAATTTGTAGCATTTGCCTATTTTTCTGGTGTACATGCACCCACTGTAACCAGTCTTGAGCTACAAATGGCTTAACAACCGACACAATTTTTAAAAATTTAACAATCAGTTCTCACATGAGTCAGTGTGACCTGACTCCAGCATTCTACTCTGTCTACCTGTTGGAATCACAATAATATCTTCTTTTCTAGCTAAGTTGTTCTGCTGACAAGCTCACAAATATTGCATAAAACATACTCACACTAAAACAAAATTTATTGTTTATCTAATGTTAAATCTAATAAAATGTCCTATATTTTATCTGGCAATTCTAACCTGGATTGTCTTTTCCCCTCCCACAGTTTAAATATTTTCCCACTTGTCCCTAGAGCCACTCACACCCTTTATAGCATTCCTTAGCACATTAAAAATGCCACTGTTAAACTATCCAAGCTCTATAAGAACCACAATGTATAAACACACCCAAGAAAATGAAAATAACAGTCTGTTTGGAGTGATGTTATAAAGTAAAATGATGATGAATCCAATCCAATGATGGAATCCTACAAAGTTATAAAAAAATCAAATTAAAGAAAGAGAGAGACTGAGGACTATGTATTATCAAACAGACATCAACTCTTTTTATGGTCTATAAAGATATCTCTGTCAATAATCCATAATTTCAGTGAAATTTATCAAATTCCATTAAAGATTTTCATGCAACATAACAAATTTAAAATTTACACAAAAGACTCAAATTGCAGAAATCGATCAATTTTATACCATTCAACACAAAGAACAATATGGGCAGGTAATACAAGGAAGAAAACAATATCTTTTCCTTCACCTTCCTTAGGCTTATGGTTGAGGCCCCTATAATAAAAGACAAAAATAACAAGAGAGAAGCATACCAATTTATTTAATAAGTTTTATGTGACATGAAAGACTTTGTAAGAAAATGAACACCTGAAGAAATGGATAAATCTGTGTATTTTTAAAGCTAGGTTTGATGATGAGTAGGGAAATGTGGAGAAAAACGGTAGGGCAAAAATGGTATGAGCTAATTTTAATGAACTGGGGGAAAGTTAGCAAGGCCTGTTTCTTGAGATTCTTCTTTGTGAACCCAAACAACCAAATCTTGCATGAACACAGAGCAAGAACTCACTCATTATCTCAAAGACAGCACCAAGTCACTCAGGAGGTATCTTTAGAGATAAAGATATTCCTTTCCTCCAAGTCTAAAGAGGGTCTCAATGAGGGTCTTAGGACCTACTTCAGGGGAAGTCAGATGATCCTATCCAGATTTCATGGCTGACTTTGGGGAAGAAGGGCTGGAAAAGGTGAGCATGACCTTCCTGTTTCAGTCATTCTCTCCATTTTTTTTCCAGCTTAAAGTATTCTGAGGTATTGTTTTATTGTTTTCCTGAATCCCATCAGAAGATTTTTTTAAATAAAATATCAAGATTTATTATAAACGTCTTAGAACTAAGAAAATACGTTACACATTTATTAAAAAGTTATAGAGAAATAGGCCAGTGGTACAGGATGCATAGCCCAGACACAGACACACATTTACATAGAAACAAGAACCACAGGTCTTACCTAGAGATCTGATTAAAATGCAGACTCTGATTCATTAGGTCTAGGATAAGTCTAGGATTCTGCATTTCCAACAAGCCTTCAAGTAATGCCGATGCCCTGGTCTGTCACCTTCACTTTTAGAGCTAGGTTAATCTGGAATATTAACCATGGTGGGCAGATATAAACAAATAAAGTAGTTCTAAATAGTCCAATCAGAATTTTATCAGCAGAGGGAAATGTTTCCCCTCACTGAGTTCCTTGGCCCATGAAGTAGGAACTTTTACCAGTCATTCTGTCTTCTCAAAGAAGTAAAGGGTGATTCTTCCGTGCTGTATACTCCTCACCCAACCCTCTCCATAGAACACAACAGTGACATATCTGGGTGGAGATATTAGGCAATGGTCTCTGTCCATGAGTGGCCTGATGTCACCAACTGCCTTCACCCCCTCAGAGACACCTGT